TATATATATATATTGGCTTACATCACCAAGCACTTTTATTTTGTTTTGTTTTTTGTTTTAACCTCACTCCTGTCACAATCCAGTCAATTAGGGATAAACTCAAGTCCAAAGAATAAATATGCAAAAAAAAAATTTTTTTGTCTCATTGAATATGCAGTTTTATTCAGGAAAACATAAGTAAAATGGGTTACATGCATGGGTTTCATGTTACCATCTTAAATTTCAAGAGCCATTTGAGCAAAATCCCACGTAAACTACACTAAGGACATTTTCCATCTGTCATCATTTTTAGTTTTCTTCATCAGCTGCTCCTTTTTCCCTCTAGAGTTTAAAGAGAGACAAAATCTGAATCGTTCGCGTGGTTTGGCACAGGCATCCGTGTGTACATTCACGACCTAGAGAACATCACAGACAGAGGCTGTAAGACTGCATTCCCATGGGTCATTGCAGTGATGAGCTTTGATGAAGGGTTAAGCACCATACTTATGAGGAACATAGTAATTTACCAGGTAAATGTGTTATTATAGCCATTCCAGCGCGTGCTCTCTAGACAGGAGGCGTCTCCCTGCTTGCTGGGGGAAGCCAGAGCCCCCGTTATGAAACATTCGAGAGGGAAAAAGTGCAGCGACATGAATCTAGGCACACGGGTGGTCCACAAGAGGAAGAGACAAATTCATTTCTACATTCTTTCTCTGAAGACAGCCTTATTGTCAGTTACCTCTTTTCAACACAACCTGAATTTCAATCATATATTTAGCGTGGTCAGCGTGTGTAGTCATCGCTGCAAGAGCGTGATTCAATTTGAGTTGATCGTACACGGTTGTGACAGTTTTATTGAGCTGAGTCAGTGCTGTTTGCTCAAGGGCTCAGATATGAAGGGCAGCCTTGCTCCGGCAAACAGAAGATCCAGCTAAAGATAGACCGCATTCCTGCGGTTTGTTGAATGCGAGCGTAGTGGTTCTGCCTGATAAGGAAGATCGGCTCGATCTCTCGCTCGCCGTTTCTTGCTCACATTCCTTGCTTCCCCTCTCCTGCTGTTGTTTTTGTTTTTTTCCATTTCTCTCTCTCTCTCTTTCTGCGTCCTTCTCAGAGTTATGTGAATATGGAGGAGGGGTTTAGGAGGAGAAGTGTTTCCTGTTCTCTTGTGTCTGAGACCCTCTTTCTCTCTCCGTTCTTGCACATTTTGTGTGTGTATATTTGTGTGTCAAGCAGTGTTAGGAAACCAAGAAAAAGTGATGTTGCTAACTTTTTCAGTAGCGGGACAGTAGCTAAGCTGTGTGTTGGTTTTCCGACAATAAGTTGCTTTTTTCCCACAAGAAAAATGCTAAGTTGTTGGTTTTGTCACCAAGTGAGCTGAGGCAATAATCAAAAATTCAAACATTGTGTCATTGTGTCGTTCAAGTAGTGTTTTTGCTGGTTCATTCATGTAAATGAAGTGACATATACTGTACATATGTGTGTGTGTATGTAATAATGTTTTTGCATTTAATGTACATTTATCCATTCTAGTTTGATGATGTCACCCTAATATTCCTGATTTTTTTATTTATTTAATTTTGGTGCCAGATGAATTATAGCATCTTGGTGAGAATAAAAAATCTTTCATCTTTTGTTTAAAAATATATTTTCAAATTATTTATATATTTTATATTTTTTTGTTTGTTTTGAGCTTATTTAATTCAAATAAAATATATATTTTTCTCTCGGTTTTGCTTGTTGATTTTCTGTTGTAGTGATTGTAAGTCTTTGATGATTTATATTTTTCACATACATTAGCCTTTAATTATGTTATATCGTGACTGCAATAAAAAAGATCATATTGCACAGTAAATAGAAGAATATGTCAGTTCTGCTAGTGTGTTTTGGATATTCAGTACGTCTTTATAATTCCAGGATGTCCAAACCCAACCCCAATTAATTAATTGAAGGTTCTGTTTTGGCATCAATGGTTCCATGAAGAACCTTTAACATCAATAAACTTTCCATTGCACAAAATGTTCTTTATAGTGAAATAGGGTTCTTAAGATTATTCAAATGTTCTTCACACTAATAAAAAAAGGGTTATTTTAAGAACTTTTCAATGAAAGTTTCTTTGGGGAACCAACAATGGTTCTTCTATGGCATTGCTGTGAAAACCCCTTTTTGGAACCTTTATTTGTAAGAGTGTATTTTCGACTTATTTCCTGTAATGCTTATAAAATGTTGCCCCTTTAAATAGCTTTGATGTAGCTAGATACCTTTTGTTAGATACTTGTTGTGTAGCTAACTACTTTTTTAAAACTTACACTTTCAAACAAGTATCAAGCAAGAAGTCTGCAAACATTTGCATTTTTAAACACTTTCTACAAGTGAATTCAAACTAACCAGCAACAGCTCCATGATCACAAAAAAGAGGGCGGGAACGAGCAAAAAAAACCGGAAAGGAATGGAAAGGAATGGGCAATAATTGGGAGTCGGGAAGCGAAAGATAGAGAGAGTGACAGTGTCAGAACAGGAGAGAGAGAGAGAGAAAGGAAAAGGGGAGAGAGGGAGGAGGCAGACCCGTCGGCCATGATTGAGAGTTTGCACCATAATGGGAGGGAGAAAAACGGAGGAAAGTAGGTAGGGTGAAAAAATGGGAAAGGAAGAGGGCCGGCTTTGGCCCTTTCTGGTAGCTCCAGCTCCAGCTGCAGCGAGAAAGAGAAAGAGCCTGAAATACTCTTTGTGTTGGAGCATTATCGAGACGAGAGAGCAAATTTCTGCTATGTTTTGAAAGCTAAAACATTCCAGAGGTTATCATCACTGAAGTGAAGGTAGGGCGGTCTCGAAACGGCCCGTCTGAAGTATCACAGCGTTGAGATTAATGACAACAGCTCTGTATCTCCTGGGTGGGCTCAGTTCCTCTGCCATGTACCCCGCAGTATATTTAGTCAGAGTCTTTCTGCTTGACTGAGTGGACATCCTGTGCTAACATCCTTTCCTCACCCATTCTCTGACTCTTTTTTTTCTTCATTCTTCCCTCTCTCTCCCTCACAATTTCCATTTAAAGTGGTATTATGAAAACAAACTTGTGATCTGTTTGATGTCGGGCTGAGAAAAGATCGACTGTAAATGTCTTGCATATGGGAATGCGTGATTTTTGTGTAAAGGTTAACCAAATACTCACAGCAGCTGTGGAATCCAGACCATATTCAGTAACAGAGGGGATTCTGTGAATTTATGTAAGGTTCATGCGTGAGACTAAAGGACAGACATGTTCTGTTGTTTTCCAGGGTCACGCTCTCAGGATCGAAGCATGGATGATGATTTCGAGCGGCGCAGGGAGCTCAGGAGACAGAAGCGGGAGGAGATGCGTCTGGAAGCCGAGAGGTAACGTGGGCATCATTAACGCTCAGTCTTTCTTCTTCAGCCGTTTTGCTCTGTAAACTGAGGGTTGTTAATGGGGAGAGATCATCAGATCCATTGCATATCCGCTGCTGGTAAAGATCGTTCACCTTGCAAAAACATGACAGCTTGCAAATTGTCCGTTACTGTGTGGCCAAATGAGTCTTTGTGCAGGATTTAAAAATGCTTGTTGATGTGTTTTCAACATCTCTACTCTTTTTTTTTTTGGGGACTTGGTGAACATCAGAATCATACCTTTATTGCCAGGTATGTTTACAAATACAAGGAATTTGTTATGGTGACAAATTTCCCATATTTCTCCAAGAAGGCACCACGGGTGGCCACCTCGGTGTGGAGCTCCACAGTTGTTTTAATCTTTTTGTTAGTTTGTTCTGTTTTTAGTTATATTCCTACAATCAGTTTCACCAGGGACGAATTGCTGAACATTTGGCAGTACACACCACCCAATATTTCACTGTTTTTTGACTATTCTGATGTTTTACTGGACATTGTAGTTGGCGGAACAGTGGCGCTGTTCAAGCGCTTTAAGAAACGCAAATGTGGGAAGCGAGCCGGCATGCTCGTCAGGCTTTAGAACGGCACTGCCTAGTATCCGTCTGCCGAATCTCCACTCTCTACCCAACAAAACGGACGAACTACTTCTGCTCTCCCGGATAAATAAGGACTTTTCAAACTCTGCTGCTCTGTGTTTCAAGGAAACCTGGCTGAATGAAGCCATTCCGGACAGCGTGCTACAACTGATGGGCTTCCAGCTGTTTAGAGCGGATCGCGACACAGAATCAACAGGGAAATCGCGTGGCGGCGGGACATGCTTCTACATCAACGAAAGGTGGTGAACAGATGTAACAGCATTGAAGATGTGCTAATCTAGAAGCGCTTTTCATCAACTGTATTCTTTTCTACTCGCCGCGGGAGTTTTCCTCATTCATTCTCGTAAGTGTCTACATTCCTCCGAAGCGTATGTGAACGCAGCGTTACAACAGCTGGCTGATCAGATCACAGACACAGAACAACAACACACGGACTCTGTTATAATCATTCTCAGTGACTTCAATAAAGCAAATCTCTCCCATGAACTGCCAAGATTCAGACAGCACGTTACATGTCCTGCCAGAGACTGTAATATACAGTACACTGTGTTGAATCATCAACTGGCCAACAATTTGAATGAGTTTTCTTGCAGGTTTGAAAAACCCTGTCTCCCACCCCACACCCATTCCGACCTTCTCTCCATGGATCCATTAACACCTCCAGCAGCCTCCCTATATGATCCTTTAGCTCGGCCTTCAACTCTATCATCCCAAACCTCCTCCAGTCCAAATTAACCCAGCTCTCTGTGCCCACCTCCATCTGTCAGTGGATCACCAGCATCCTGACAGACAGGCAGCAGCAGCTATTGAGGCTGGGAAAATTCTCATCCAGCACCTGCACCATCAACACTGGCACCCCCCAGGGATATGTTTTCTCCCCACTGCTCTTCTCCCTGTACACCAACGACTGCACTGCAAAGAACCCCTCTGTCAAGCTCCTGAAGTTTGCGGACGACACCACACTTATCAGCCTCATACAGGACGGTGACGAGTCTGCTTACAGACAGGAGGTTGAAGAGCTGGCTGCCTGGTGCTATTATAACAACCTGGGGCTGAACACGCTCAAAACAGTAGAGATGATTGTGGACATTAGGAGAAACCACCCTACACTCCCCCAACTCACCATCATGGACAGCAATATAACAACAGTGGAGTCATTCAGATTCCTGGGCACCACCATCTTTCAGGACCTGAAGGGGGAGTTCCACACAGACTCCATTGTCAAAAAGGCCCAGCAGAGGCTGTACTTCCTTCGTCAGCTGAGGAAGTTCAACCTGCCACAGGAGCTGCTGATACAGTTCTACTCTGCAGTCATTGAATCTGTCCTCTGCACTTCTATAACTGTCTGGTTCAGCTCAGCTACCAAAACTGACCTCAGAAGACTACAGCGGATAGTCTGGACTGCTGAGCGAATCACTGGTACAACCCTCCCCACTCTCCAAGAACTGCACTCATCCAAAGTGAGTAAAAGGGCTGGCAAAATCATTCTGAACCCCTCACACCCAGCCCACTTCCTCTTTGAACTGTTGCCGTCTGGTCGGCGCTACAGAGCACTGAGCACCAGAACGGCCAGGCATAAGAACAGTTTCTTCCCTCAGGCAATTCACTTTACAATAAACATCTAATATACAACACTATACATACATTTATTTATTTATTTATTTATTTAACACACCATACTTTATATTTATATTCCTTGCATTTGTACATACACCTGTACACACAAATACAATCTATTGTCTATTTTGTATATTGTGTTTGTCTTCGTTTGTTGTATATTGCTATTTCCTATTACTTATTCTATTTTATTGTGCTGTTGAAGCTTCTGTCACCATAACAAATTCCTTGTATGTGTAAAAATACCTGGCAATAAAGCTCTTTCTGATTCTGAACATTCATATATTATTAAAGAAGGCAGTTGTGAATATTCCTATATGATTCTCTTACACAAAATACCTAGAATGTTGACTTTTTTTCCATATACTGCAAGCAAACAGTGACCATGGGGAAAAAACACCAGAAAGGGACCATAAAAGGACCATAAAAGTTGCCGGTTCTTCAGTATTCAAATATGCTGCATATTGTACCAGATTTGATGCAAGTGTTGGTATTGTGGGATCGGATGAGGTTTGAATATAATGAAGTCTGAATGCAATATGAGAACAGTGGTGGAAGGGAAGATTTTCAGTGTATAACAAGTGTTGGGGAAAGTTACTTTTAAAAGTAATATATTACAATATTGCATTACGCCAAAAAAAGTAACTAATTGTGCTACTTATAATTTTTATGGAAAGTAATGCATTACGTTACTTTTGCGTTGCTTTTTTTTTTTTTTTTACCTGAGCTGGGCTTGCTTAAGTGTTTTTTAATAACAAAAAAAACAAACAAAAGTTATATTTTTGGCAACTGTAAATGCCCTTTCACACCAAAAGTGAAAATAATGAGCCTGTCCCCATTAATTTTCGTATGTACAGAACAGAACATCCTGGGTAGTCTGCTAAACTTCTGATTGTGTGTTTGCTATAATGCCTTACCAATCCCTATTTTTACACACTGTTCACACTTACTAACAATTTAGATGGCAAATTATTGGTTATTATTGTATCGGGGCCCTCAAACATCCATGGCTTTTATAAATTGCTATTTCTGTGTTGTCTAAAATGCATCCAAATTTTAACACATTTACTGTAGTTTAAGATTCATAAATATACTGTATGTTGATGTGTTTCCAGTATTCTTAACTTTAAACTTTGTAACTTTTGTCCAATTAGCTCCAGACCCATTGTGTCTAAAGAGAAAATGAATGTTTCTCATTGTGGGGAAAAAATTGCCTGCTGATTTTTGAGCCAGAGGTGAAAACAAAGAAATTCCTGTTTTAATGCTTTTGTGGTCTGAAGCTTGCACTTTCAGCTCGTTTTTCTTTTTCTGTGATGATGGAGTCTGCTATTAAAGCAGAAAACTGGTGTTAAAGTATCAAATGTTAAACATCAGTGGATTGGCAAATTTGCGAACCGCTTGACCATTTAAGGCAAAGCGACACTTCCATAAACACTGGAGGCACTGACAGCTGTTTCTTGAACATTTATGCCGCTGTCAAAAAGAATTATGGGTAATGGCTAATGAACATGCAAATCGAGCTTATTATCATTCCAATAGCGCATAGGATGGCATGAATCAGCTCTAAATCGGTCTTTCAGCAACAATTATTTCTATTATCATTGGCTAGGATGTTAGACAAGAGTTACATGGTGTACAGTTCGTTTTGAGTGTCAGCTTCCCGCCTACAATGGTCTTCCTGTTTCCTCCAAGCATGTTACCATGAAGCAGGAATGCTTTTCTTTTTCATGATTTAAGATATATGGGATATTTTTCACCTAATCGTAGGGCGAAAGCGCAAAGCCGATGACGCACAGATTAGGGGCCATTATATTTTACAGCATAGCATAAAACGAATGCTTTTTTTGGCTGTATGTTATAAACGTATGAAAGGCTGGAATTGTGTTTTCTATGCCAAGTATCACATTTGGCTGAAAGCTACCAATGCAGCCCGTTCAGCTGTGTGACATGATGTGATCTTGTGTTTATGTTCTCGTGGAGTCGATTCAATTTGGCCCGCTCTTCTTCTCCTGCTCGAGTTAGTGATAAAAGATTAAATCGCTCTATTAAATTGCTGGAATTATGCAAAGATGCTGTAACAATCAATATTTACTCTTTGCCGGTAATTGAACTAGTCAAAACCATGTGTTGTCTCGCTGGCCCCGTTCATTTCGGCCGTCATCGCGATGCATGGAGGACACAAAAGTCAGTTTTCGGTGTACATATGATGAGCGCTGTCACTCTGCCAAATGGCTCTGCATTAGAAGCGTTTACTGGCAGAGATTTGCGAAGCTCTCTGTCCTCTGTGCAAGCAGCGGGACAACAGGCGGGCACATGTTGGCTCGGCGCTGACGTGGAAAAACAACGAGAGTCCGATAAAGTTCATGCATGCAGGAGCAGCTTGACATCCGAGTCCAGCTGCATTTTCATCAGGCGATGATGGGTTGATGTGCGCCAGTCTTTTTCATCTGGAAGACTTGCCAACATTTCAACTGCTGAAAATGACAGGAGAGGGAAAGCGTGTGAGAAAGTGAGGCTGTGTGCTCTGTCTTTTGTCTGTATGTATTACTGTAAATTGCTGACAATCTAAAACGTGGCACTCTTTTACTTTAGATAAAATGCTCAACTTTATATCTTTAGATATAATGTCCACAGCATTGCACGAAAGCCCATTTTAAACAGAATAATTATAACAGAAAAAATATTACATCTCACAATTCAGACTTTTTTCCAAATTTACATCAAGTTTATCTCTCAGAATTTTTTATCACACAATTA